CAGCCGCAGTTCGAATTACGCTCCAAAGTTTGATATCATCGGCGAACATGGCAGGAACGAAGATAGGACCGAGAACGGAGCCTCATAAGGTAGTGAAATTTGGCCTCGTACTAATTTTGTGGCCCGCCGCTGCACCCTTTCAAGTACGTTATAATCCTGCTAGTTAAAGTTGATTTATTTAAATTAAACAAATTTTAATTTTTGATGTGCGGTCTGAGTTGTTTTAATCAATCAATTACAGTTTTAATATAAAACCAATTTTACGGAGCCAGTTCAATTTTGGTAATATTCGTCGCACGTAAGCCCAGACTGCAGGTGCGCGATCTTAGCTCACATGCATAATCATTTTCTGAAAATTCAAAAATACTTTTCCAACCATAGTCACTATCGTGATTCGTTCATCAGGTTTTTATTGTGACGTAATGTGCCCTGTTATTGTCAGCTAATCATGTCAATACTATGTTTCTCGTCTTTTTCTCATTCCAGAAGTAATCTACTAATTGAGACTTCTGCCTTTCCTGATACAGTTCATTTCATCTCACTTATGTCTTAGGATTCTATATCCATATTACATGGTAATTAGGATTTAAACTTCTAGTCTATATACGTTTGTCTACCGGTATGGGCCCATAGACGACCTTAATTCAGCCATGCAATGCGTGTAGGTAGTCTGATACCATTGACACCCTTTTTAGCGGTAAACTATTCCCCAATCGTTGCAACGCGCATATATATGTGCACTTACACCTGACATATTTTCTGATACATTTAGGATACGGCCGACACAAGCTCTTTCATCGGTCTCTTGCAACCCTGTCAACACCAGCCCCGCCTGGCCCCATCTAAATAGCCGGGGCCAGGCGGGGCAATCCGGGGACAAGGCTAAAATAAATTTATTGTAAAAATTTCTCGAAATCTATTTTTTGTCAAAAAAGTATCAATAACCATTAATTTACATCTTCTTTGATGAAACAATGAAATCGGGGGTAGAAACGGGAAAATGGGGGGCGCAAGCTGCAAAAATATTTTCCGTAGGTGGGG